TTATTATTATTATTATGATTATTATCATTATGATGATGATGATTATTATTATTATTATTATTATTATTATTATTATTGTTATGACGCAACAGGGACTTCACCAGAGAGCTCTAAAGATGACGTCTCCAACATTTATGTCATGTGACTCGAAAGTGGGCGTGTCCGAAAGCAGTTTCCGGAAACATGGAGGCTGTTCTGAGCGATGTGGTAGCTCCCGAGGACCTTTTAGTAAGTTTTCTAGTTATTAAACCTCTTTCTTTCATGGGAAACACACACATTCACACACGGGGCACACACACTGAGGCGCTTACAACATATGTTTAGTGGGTAAAGGCTGAAAACCTCCGGAGAAAGAGACGTGTAGGAGGATACTTTGTCGCGTCACTTCGCTAGCTAAATGCTAATGATGATGTTATTGATTATTGGTCAGCGTGTTATCGATATTTCCGCTTGTGGAATTACGTCAGTCGTGCTAATATAATAGTTTGGGAAGTGTATGTACTTTTAAGGACTTTAATGTCATAACTGTCGGAGATGGACTCTTGTTTACTCGGGAAACCTCACACAATGAGAGCTTTGTCTGCCAAAACAAACACAATAAATGAGATTTAAAATCAGCAAAGCGAGGTGTTTCTGTTCCACTGCCTCCCCGTACAGATGATTTACCTATACACACACAAGACCGTGGTCTCTTGCTTCATGTGGGTCGGTTTCTGTTTTGTTTTGACAGAAATTCGAGAAGAAATACAACAGCGAGTTGCTGAAGGGAGCCGTCTCCAAAGAAACTAAGTTTGAGTATGCTTGGTGTCTGATCAGGAGTAAATACACAGACGACATCAAGAAGGGAATTGTGCTCCTGGAAGGTGAGTTTATTAAGAAATATAGATGTTTTATTGCTGTATGTTAAGTCCACTTTGACCTGCCTTATTCTTACTTTTATGCAAAGCACTAAATCAGCCAGTTTATATTAGGTCAGAGGTCAAATTGTTGTTACTTGATGACTAAATGAGTTGTGTTTGCAAACACACTGAAACATTACCTAGGGTGATCATTACAGCATCATCTTTAATCGCTTCTCCATAACTGTAATTTAAACATATATAAAATGCTGTAATGAACTGAGTTCCCTGCAGTGTAACAGGGTTTCAATTATTAATAATAGTAATAATAATAATAATTAATTAACAATACTCGCTTACTGAATGTTTGACTATTAAATTAATCAGGGATTGAAAATGTATCTTTTACTTTCTAATATTATTTTAAAAACCAACTGGTTGATAAGGATAAGTAGGACTCCCTACAGTATTATATATGTTGTTATTATGGCTGTATCTTAAGATTATTTTCATTATCAATTATCTTCACGTTGTTTTCTCGATTAATTGTTCTATAAAATGGAGGATTGACGAAATCATTTCTTCCCAGAGCCCAAAGTGACATCTTCTGTTGTCTTCATTTATCTGAAACTAAAGCTAACAGTCCAAACCCCAAGGTTATTCCATTTACTATCAAAGAGGACTAAAAGAAACCCAAATATATTCACATTTGGGAAGCTGGGATCAGGAAATTTTGGTTAATCGACTATTCAATAAATCAAAAAATATTCATTGTCATGCACTCAACAATATCAACTTGATTTTTAGACAGGATGTCAGTGAAAACCTGTATAACAGACATGGCAGCTTCACTGCAAAGTATTGATTGCTATAACATGTGAGCTTGTATTTTTTCCTAATTAAATTAAATTACATTTTTTAAACAAACAGTTTTTTTTGTTTTGTAGAGCTTGTTCAGAAATCATCAAAGGACGACTCCCGGGACTTCCTGTTCTACCTTGCAGTGGCCAACTACAGACTCAAAGTGAGTGCGATGTTTCTAAAGTCATGACATTGTTTAAATGTTTTCTACCTGAGTATTTCTTATCATTTCTATATGGAGCCTCACGTCTTAAAGTCATTTACATTACATTTGATTACATCATTTAAAATGTGTACACATCTGAGAGTACTTTCTATTTCCTCTGCCCTGTTCTTCTTCCAGGAATATGAAAAAGCCCTGAAGTACATCCGAACTCTTCTAAAGAACGAGCCGGGCAACAAGCAGGCTCTGGAGCTGGAGAAACTCATCGTCAAGGCTTTGAAGAAAGGTAAGAACCAATCTTTGTCGTATCTTAATAACAGACTTTTAGCAGTTATTTGACCATGTTGTCGGAGTGAATACATACAGAATGCTGACACTCACCTGTTGTTGTCTAGATGGCTTGGTTGGCATGGCGATCGTCGGGGGAATCGGCCTTGGCGTGGCCGGTTTAGCGGGACTCATCGGCTTGGCTGTGTCGAAGGGAGCTGCTAAATCCTAAATGGATGTGAGACGACATGTCTTCGTTTTGCTGGACTGATACACTGACCCTTCCCCTGAATAAAAAAAAATAAAAGTATGTGGCGAAAGCTTGAGGGATGTAACATTTTGGTTTGAAGTTTAATATGTATTACCACACATTAAAGGGTTTGAATAATGAGTGCATAACCTGATTTCATATTTTAACAGGGCTGAGATTCACCATACTCATGACATTACTCTATTACGCAGCCTAGCATGGCACTTTGTTATTATTTGTGTAAATAAATTAAACTAGTCGAGGTGCAGCTCAATTTTATGTAAATTCGTAGTTAGTATGCGCCTCAGCCTAAACTTCCTAAGTTGACATTTACATTTTGTAAAAAAAATATCTATATAAAAGTGCAGTTGTGGTTCTGTAACTGTCGTGATTATTTCTGACATGAACAAATGCATTGTTAAGGAAAGTGTTAGTAGTGCAGTAGGAAGTGTAGCTTGCAATGCCAAAAGCACCAGTGTGGTTTGTTTGCTGGCGATGTCGCAGCGACTGCCATACTGCTGCTAGAGGGCTGTACGTCCAGCTGCTGCTGTGGAGGCAATGAGGAGATGTTTTCATTTACTTTGGACATGAGGTTTCTTTTCATTTGTTCTGAGTATTTTAAATTAAGGGAGGCAACACACTTATTGGAAATGAAATACCTTTTGTCATGTAAAATGCATCCACTAACATTTATCTGTGCTACATTTAACAGGTTGTGTTTTCCATCTTGTTAAATAAAATGATTTTGAACTGAGAGAAGATTTGTGTTCTCTGGAAATTATTGTTGAGCTGTTCATTGACAACTGCCTGAGTCTTGGAGTTACATATGCACAGATATGTGCTCTTATAAGAGAGAGCTGAGTACAGGAGAAGAAATACTAACAGTCAGAAATGCTGACACACAGCATCAGAAACAATCAGACATCTGCAAACAGGTCCAAACCGACACATTCATACTGCTTGTTTTGTCCAGCCAATAGTTGGACAAAACATAAACAACAACTATCCAAATAGTTATCCATTAATTTTCTGTCAACTGACTAATTGTTTCAGCTCTAACTGTATAAGCTGTTGGGTAGTTTAATCTTTAGGCGTCAGATAGGCGTCAGCCGTCTCTCAAGTAAATTTGGGAAAATCATAAAAAATAAGATTTATAATCTATTTTTTAGACCATAATTGGATGTTTCACAGTAGCAGTGATTTGCCATTAATCATGCTATTGTTTACTCCTCCAGAAACCGGCTGCTCCCGGTCTAGCACACTACAAAATAAATGAATGCTTACTGTTTGTTGGTTGTTCCGAATAAAGCCAATCTAACCCAATTCCATGGTATTTATATGATTTAACAACTTAATAAGTGAATGAATGTCAGGGAATTCTTCGGACTAAAACACATTTTTATCAACATTAAGTTCAAGGCAGCCTGAAATCTAAACATTATTTATGAGCTAAATCCCTACAAAACTGTATCATCTGCATAAAAAAGGACATCATGTCTTATGTTTTTCACTGTTAAGACCAGGAAAGTGATTTCCATTTATGCAAACCATTTATTATTTCCATAAGGATCTTTTGTTGGATGGAAGTCCGCTATACAATTACATTCTTATCACTGTCATTTAGTGATTATTAGATTTACAATTAGGTTTTTGGTGGATACTGTGTAAGGGAGTTCATTATGATCTTTATCCAAGGGTCTATAGCACTCTAAGATTGGGTCGTGCATGTTTGAACAAAAACGTGCCTGGCCTAGTTATAACTCGCCATCGATCCTCCTCTTCATCTTGACCCGTGGGGAGATTGAAGTCGCTGTTTTACGACAGGAAGGCTCATGGAGGCTATCAGTTGTGTGTGGCGTTATCAGCCTGGGATTGTCACTCATTAACCCGCCTGACAGGACCGAAACTCCCCAGGGACATATGCGTGAAAGTAATAATCATCGTTGGTGTGAAAGAGGTGAACAAGTGGGTAAAGGAAAACAGAAAACCAACATCAGGATGGGTAGACATCTCCATGAAAAAATTATCTAATATCCAAACAGAATATACACTTAAAAACTAACCAAAGCTGGATTTGTCTTCAGACTCATCCCACATGCAGTTTAAACACACTAACATCAATGATTCATTAAAGCCAGTATAATTCAGATCAGCTTCAGTGAGTTTCAGTTACAAGGGCCAACGTTCATTGAGTATCCCCTGGTTTAAACACATGGCAGAAAGATATTAATGTGTAATCACCATGAAGAAAGGGAATACAACTGGGAACGTGGTGTAAGTTACACCCTGTATACATGTCATCACACAGTAATTTGAAGTTACTGTATAATCCAGTAGAACAGCAGTTTATTGTTTGTGCGATTTATGGCACAGAGACAGTAACATTTGACTTTTGGCATAATTTTATATGCAGTTCCTTCCTGGCCTGAATTGTATTCTTATATTTTGTTTGCATAGCATCTGTGCCTGAAGAGATAAATAGGAAACACTTTTAAAAATGTTATTGCTTTATACAATCATATTCATTTATTTGTTGTCTCCTAGATTTTGCACCAGCTGCAGACAAAAACAATCTTGTGGGAAACACCAACAGTGGAAAAGCAACATTTTGTGGCTTTTGAGAGTGCAAAAAATAGCTTTTAAAGGGTTGATATGCTTTAGCAAGAAAGAAATTCTTTCAACAACATGTCACTGTTAGCATGGTAGCACCATCACTCTATGGGTGGTCTGTTGGTAGTTCAGTCGGTGCACCACTTGTTCCAGATTGAAATATCTCTGCAACTACTGGATCGATTGCTATAAAACTTGATACACACATTCCTGTTTCCCCCAGGAGGAAGTTGTAGTCATTTTGGTCTCTTTCTATCATCAATAACAGAATACCTGCAAAACGATTGATACCATCAGCTAATGGACTAATTAGCAAATGTTAACATGCTAACAATGTTAAAAATGTTAAAGCCCCATAAAACTTGGTTTGACATCTTAAGTTTTCTCCGCAATATTAAATATTCCTGAATAAACAACATTATTAATAAACAATATAGAGTTCATAAACCCAGATCTGCTGCATCAGGATTGTGAGGGTGTGGTCTTATCAGATATAATTGAAAGTTGCCTAGCAACATAAGCAACAACCCACCAACAGTGATGTTATGATATAAATATCGCTACATTCTGATTGGTGCAAAGAAGTGAGTGACATCCCCTTTTTTCTAACAGAGCCCCGCCAACTTCAAACGAATAAAAACAACATCGAAACTGTTCTAGTTCTGGACCCCTATTGCTCGTAACCATGAGCCTATTGAGAAAATATCTAGTCTAATATAGTAATAAATATATACAAAATACAACAAACTTCTGAACAATATTGTTGTGTGAATATGTTGTAAAATAATCAACCTGTCTGCACTGAGAATTTAGATTTTTTAATAAAAGACTACATCGCAAGCTGTTCTATTAATCTATTCTGTGCAGTCTTCTGTGTCTCATGCTCATCCCACCTCTGTTTAATGAGTTATTTTCCTGGAAAGCACATGAAAAAGTTATGGGCTTCATTCCAGGAATCACTTTTTAAAAGTTACATAAACTTTGACGAAGCCACTGTTACATAAACTTTGACGAAGCCACAGACGAAGCCACTGTGACATTTGCATTTAACAACACAAACTCATCAGCAGCCTATGTCGCTGCCAAGTGAGTTGTAAAAATAGGCTTTGCAAACAGCTCGGCCATAAAATCAGACATTTACGGCGAGGCAGGATCCAGTTTTCAGAGGAGCTCAGGAGAAGGTGAAGCAGATGAGCAAGACCAGTGACTTTAGATTTACCCGTGGTTTGAATTTCTGCCTTATGTCATGCATGAGCTCTGCTGAGGAGTATTTTAATCTGATTATCTCTTTTTAATTAATTCTTATTTCCAGCAAAACAGTTGCTCTGTGACTGAGATGAAGGATTTCACACTTGACAATGTGAAAACAATGTGAAGAATTATCACCTGAATCCGCACATCCACCCACCTAGAGCCGGGGTCGGTCCGTGGTTTCTGCCTCTTAAAAGGAAGTTTTTCCTTGCCGCCATCGCCAAATGCTTGCTCGTGGTGGGAACTGTTGGGTTCTCTTTGGTAAATAAGTTAATAAGGAAGTTCGTCTAGAAACCCGGTTGGGTCTCTGTACCTGCTCTATTTGAAAAGTGTCCTGAGATAACTTCTGTTATGAATTGGCGCTATACAAATAAAATTTTAATTGAAATTGAATTGAATTGATTTGGTCATATTTAGGTTTGTAGAGATTTTATGGCAATCCATCTTATTGAGACATTTCACTAAGACCACAAATATCAACCTCATGGTGGCACTTGAGGTAATCTCAAGGGTTTACTGATGTCATTACGGTTCATACTCTGAGGAACATGAACATTTATACATAGTTTGACTGCAATCCACCCAATAGTTGAGATATTTCACTCTGGAAGTGTTGGATCAACAGATCAACATTACTTTCCACAGAGCCATCTGTTTAATATAAGAAAACACAACAACTAGTTTCAAATGAAAAAAGAAAATATTCAGGATTTGTTCAAACACATTCATTATCAGTTTTGGAGTTAAATTGACATTAAGATAACTCCTCTGTGACTGAGATTAAGCCCTTTCATAGTGCTACATATACTAGTCTTTATTGTTATCATGGAAAAATGCTGTCATCTGTCTCTTATTTATGTTTTTCTTACTAGATTAACAATCTCTCTATTGACGAAAAATAGTTACGCAGTTTGGAACATACAGTACTTCAAGACTAAAACATATAATATATTAATCATTAAAAAAATCTGATAAGCATTGTTTGAAGTTTCTAATCCTGCACTTTAGTTACTTTTTAATCTACAAAATGTACACTATTGTCTTGAGTCATTGCTGTCACCTCTTTCAAAATGTTAAAAATAGATTTTGATTAAATTTTACAACGATTACTGTGCCACTGTAGATGATTTATAGTGAACAAACTGTCCCTTTACAAACACTTCACCTCTCACTTCCTTCCAGAGAGAGAAGCGATGAACACCTCGGGTTTATTGTCGATGAACTGCGCCTCTGTTTCTGCAACCTTGTTCTTGACCTTTATACAAATGACTTTACTGGTTTACAAATCTCCTCGCCTCTATATACTTGGGGCTTTGTCTGAAATGCTAATATTATCGGTGTGTGAACTGTGTGCCCTGGATTTGGCAACGCTGACCCGGCAGCAATCAGGAGGATTATTAATGAAGGCACACAAACACAGAAACTACATGATGAACTGGGTAACTTTAGACCTTTATCATTTCCTGTTAGATGTGACTTTAGTCCTCAAATACATCAATTAAATGTTGGTACCTTTCCAAAATGTTGCAAAATGCTGGGTGTGACTCTCAGTGACTGTGACCTTGTGTCTCACGGCCTTGAGATTTTGAAACCCAAACAATAAAATGAACAACTTTGGTCTTATTTAGACTACTGTGTGCAGTATAAGGAGACTTCAGTGTGACACTTGAGGTATGATGACGCAAATATAAAATTCTTTGCAAAGTCTTCATAGTAAAAGACTATTAAACATTTTTCTGAAATTGCCAATGTTTGTTTGTCAAATTTTTAGAATCTTCTCATAAATCAGGTCAAATATGATCAATTGCATGCATTTTGAAAGAAAGAAAGACATGGTTGACAGACAGATGACCATTGGACCCTGAGCGTGAGCCGAAAAACACCTGTTCACTTTCAGGGATGTAAAATGCAAAAAAAAAAAAAAGAGGAAGAAGAAGATTGAGTGTGTGTGTGGAAAGGAAGGGGGGAGGAGAGAAAGCAAGTCATATAAATCATTACACATATCTGTTGGTCACACTCACTCACAGTGGCAGACCAGACACACCACACTCTTAGATACTCACCGACTTTTCTATCACACACAAATCTGTTCTGATATTTATTGAAATATAATTATTTTTTACTGATTTAACTAAACAGATCTGGATATACGTTTTGGTTGACTACTGGGCCGAGGAGGGGTCATGGATCCAATTGTGGAAGTAGTGGCTTTGCTGCTGGGGTTCATTGGTTGGGTGTTGGTGGGGATCGCGCTGCCAAACCGTTATTGGAAGACGTCCACCGTCGACGGGAATGTCATCACCACCTCCACCATCTATGAAAACCTGTGGATGTCTTGTGCGACCGATTCGACGGGGGTACATAACTGCAGGGAGTTCCCGTCACTGCTCGCTTTGAGTGGTATGTTGACCAAAAGAGTCTATCAAATGATGACAAATAATTTTAATAATACAGTTTAAGGGCTTTTTTGATACACACAACACCAACCACAGATTATTTTAATTGTAACACTGTTGCTTTGACAGGGAAAAAAAATATTATGCCATAAAAAAGTGCCTGTAAAAGGTAATTTTCAAGATTTTATGGCTCTTTGGACACTCTGAACTTTGGAACAGATGTAAATAAAAAAATTCTGTGGCTGTTTTTGTTTATTTCCACTCTGTGTTCAGGTTACATCCAAGCGTCTCGTGCCTTGATGATTACAGCAATTGTGTTGGGCACCTTTGGACTACTGGGGGCCCTGATAGGAGTACAGTGTTCGAAGGCTGGAGGGGAAAACTATCTTCTTAAAGGGAGGATTGCTGGCACCGCTGGGGTCCTTTTCATACTTCAAGGTAACGAATATGACAAAAATGCATTAGAAGTTTATTTTAGGAGAGTTAGTTAAGAAATGTTCTGCTTTCTCGACCATTCTGGACAGTAATGACCTCCTAATACACTATAAAACAATAAAGGAACCTTTCTAAAATACTAATAAATGATAATCATGTTTTATTGCATGTTCAAATCAATCATCCATAAATTTTCTCCTAGTTTCCTGCAAGACTTTGAACCTGTATGTGAGTATCTGGAAGCTTCCTTGCTGCTTTCTCAATGATTAAGGAATATTTGATTTGTTCTTTTTCTACCAAAAGGTGTGTGCACAATGGTGTCAGTGTCCTGGTACGCCTTCAACATCACTCAGGAATTCTTTGACCCTTTCTATCCTGGGATAAGGTAAGGTGGTGGTGGTGGTGGTTGGAGAGGGGTCACTAAAAGGCCCAACGTGAGTGTTGGCTGACTAAAACTCTGCTCCGTGTCGCAGGTATGAAATAGGAGAAGGACTTTACATCGGCTGGTGTTCCGCTGTGCTCGCCATCGCTGGAGGAGCTTGTCTTACCTGCTCCTGCAAATTTGGGACAGAGGAAAAATAGTGAGTACAGTCTCATCCCTCTCCATCTGCCAACATGTAATAATCATTAATTTATTGATTTATTGTTCTGGGATATAGGAGTGGAGACTGAGAATAGTGCCCATACGCCCCTGTTTATTGTTTACTGTTTATCAGTTGCTTGTAACAGTTAATCCGTTGCTTTACAACCATTAGCATTGCTCTCTGTTCCTCCATACACCACATGTAAAAGTGTGAAATCCACTTTTACATGTAAATAATTAAGGTACAAGGTAACAAGGTAAATAATTAAAAAAAACCTCCTATCTGAGGTTAAAGAGATGTATTCATGAAAACAGTGACATATGTGTAAAAGTATCAATATATCAATAAATTGATCAAACTACAAATAATGCAATAAATTAATAAGCTATAATAATAACCTTGGAAACCTTGAACATCTCTGGTGCCTTTTTGTGGAAGAACTTTATTAATTCACTTTAAATTCCAGCTCTCATTGGACATTATCACATGAACCTGTTGGTAGAAGCCATCCATCTAAGCCAACCTTTATTTCTGACTGTTTGATTTGGGCATGGGCTCTATTCTAATTGTGCAAAATACCTACATCATTAAGTGTCATTAAGATGAATGGGATCATAACAAAGTGTGCCTCCAAAAGTGGAATATAAATCAAAACGGGTGGTAGTTGGTTAGACATGATTCTCTGACTCAGTCAGATTATGTTTTAAATAGCTGTGACACTCAGAGGCACATTAAAGAAATAGGTTGGGTGAAACTGAAACTGGCCCCCAGTAGAAGTTGTGTTTGGAGTGAGAAAAGCCTGACTAGTCCGATTAAAGCCACTGTGTGTACAATTTGAAAGTTGAGTTTGGAGCCACCTAGTGTTTGGACATAAAAGACACCTTTGCATGAGACAAAAGGACTGAAAACCAAAAAGGGACAGAACAACATAAACTTCTTATACTTTCATTGAGGAATAGGTCTTTTTCACTGAAGACATTTTGATTGGTGTGAATAATAAAACTAGTGATGGCTGAATTCCATTTAGCTCCTTCAGTTTCAGGGTCCTGCTATTGTGCATGTTTGCTCACTGTCATGACCTACGGGGGCAATTTAATAGAACAAATCCATCATTAATGATATTAGCAGCACCTGTGGTTTTCTGCTATGACAAAATGTGAAATTCTTTCAAGATTGTGGATTTTAAGACATACAGTGATTTAGGCATCCAGCCCCAGTGACTGATGTTTTTGTTTATCCATCTCGTTTTGCAGCCCTTTGCCTTATCAGACCAGGGGAACTGTTTATTCTGGAGCTGCACCGACCAGAAGCGTGGCTGCTAGCACTTATGGACGAAATGCTTACGTTTGAGCAAAGATATGAAAATGTAAAGAAAAAAAAAATCAAATCTCTTACAAATGAACTTTTTTATCACCTCAGTTTTTGGTGACTCATCTGAAATGCTCAGTTTTTACACTTAAGATGGACCTTCTTTTTCCCGCAAGTATGTGGAAAAGGTCCATCAAATGTATTGTATATATAATCGCAATATCAAGTATGTATTCTGTTAAAAATTATAGCATTGTAATGATAGCATTGAAGTTGTAAAAGTTGTAAAAAGCTCACTTTGTCACCACGCACACATACTGTATGATTGCAATGATTCTATTTATGTTTTCCCGATGATGTTGCACAAATACATCAACATACAGTCACTTATTTTCCAAAGGAATCCAATCATTCGATGATCTGCAGACACACTTCTAGACATTTGTAAGGGGAAGGTCAAAACTATGATAATCCAGATATTTGTGTGTGTTGTTTTGTACAGTTTTATAGATAGTACATGTGAAAAGAGGGTGGAGGACAAGTTATCTTCATTTTCTTGGTTTTTGTTTGTTTGTTTTTCTACAATTGTGCACAATAAAATGTGTAAACATTTCAGTTGGATTTTGTATTCTTGTAGTCAAGATATGATTGTACTGATTACAAATGACATAGGCACCAGCACGTTAGACTCAGTGTGACATAGCTACCATTGAGGAGACTGAGGTCATGTCCTCATGACCGGGTTTACATTGTACAATTACACAGTTAGATAAATTGTGTTTTTTTGAAAGGCAGATTATGATGTGCTTTAGAAAGGGATTTAGGATTAATCTCCAGAATTACACGCCGGCCAACGTAGAAACCAAAACATTTACACCAAAAACTGTAATGTTCCAAAAACTGTGTCTTGATTGTGATACAGTATGAGATAATAATACATTTTAAGACACACTCGCTACTGAATAAAACTTGTTACCCTTGAGTTTATGTAAAGATTTGTTTTAATGAAATATGCTCAATTTAGAGTGCAACAGCAGGAACAGGAAAAAATACACATATTTGTAAGTATACTTAAAAAAAGGTTGATTAGAAACATAATAATGATACATCAACTTATATACTAATAAAACAGTGATAACATATATAAAATATCACTAATATTAGCATATTGTAGGGACTTAGACTTAGACCTCACTTTA